TGAATGTCTCTTGTCATCCCAGACTGATGGCTTGACCGAATGACATACATGATATAAGATGGCATGGCGACCCTAGCTAATAGCTGAATGCATTCAATCCTGCTAGTTTGTTGACTCGATTCTTCTCTGCACACGATAAATGGTGGCATAACGACCCCGATTGAAAACTGAATGTGTTCTGTCATCCCACACCGATGGCTTGATGCCACACATGATAGAGGATGACATACCGGCCCTAATTGACAACTGAATGTCTTTTGTCATCCCAGACTGATGGCTTGGCCTGATGACACATGACATGAGATAGCATAATGGCCCCAACTGACAACTGAATGTCTCTTGTCATCCCAGACTGATGGTCTGACCTCAGGCCGCACATGATACAAGATGGCATAGCGACCCCAACTGATAACTGAATGTCTTTTGTCATCTCAGACTGATGGCTTGACCTCAGGCCGCACATGATACAAGATGGCATAGCGACCCCAACTGATAACTGAATGTCTTTTGTCATCTCAGACTGATGGCTTGACCTTAGCCCGCACATGATACAAGATGGCATAGCGACCCCAACTGATAACTGAATGTCTTTTGTCATCCCAGGCTGATGGCTTGAGCTCAGGCCGCACATGATACAAGATGGCATAGCGACCCCAATTGATAACTGAATGTCTTTTGTCATCCCAGACTGATGGCCTGACCTCAGGCCGCACATGATACAAGATGGCATAGCGACCCCAACTGATAACTGAATGTCGTTTGTCATCCCAGGCTGATGGCCGGACCTAATGACACACACATGATATGAAATGGCATAGCGACCCCAACCGATAACTGAATGTCTCTTGTCATCCCAGACTGATGGCTTGAGCTCAGGCCACACAAGATACAAGATGGCATAGCGACCCCAGCTGATAACTGAATGTCTTTTGTCATCCCAGGCTGATGGCCGGACCTAATGACACACATGATATAAGATGGCATAGCGACCCCAACTGATAACTGAATGTCTTTTGTCATCCCAGGCTGATGGCCGGACCTAATGACACACATGATATAAGATGGCATAGCGACCCCAACTGATAACTGAATGTCTTTTGTCATCCCAGGCTGATGGCCGG